CGCCGCTGGAACGCGCAGCGGTCCCAGAGCCTCTTCCGTTCGCTGCACGGCCTCGCCCTGCGCCCGCCACCGCCCTACGGATCAGTCCTCTCGCCCGCCACCTCCAGTTGACCCGGATCTGTCCAGGGAGGGTGAGGGAAGAAAGGCCTTCTCCTAGGAAGCGTGGCTACCTAAGACTCCGATGAAGAGAGGTCTTGGTCTACCTGAGGGTCGTTGATTGTTTCAGCTGGGTGGGGAGCGAGGGCCCCCACCCAGGGTCGGGGTGTAAGAGAAGGAGCACAGGGCTGGGGTCAGAACTGGGTTTGAGTTCCAGACTTGCTCCTTTGCTAGCCCTTTGAGTCCTGCCTCAGCCACCTGCTGGCTGTGTGGTGTTGGACCAGTCACTCACCCTCTCTGAACCCACTTTTCTCATCAGTAAATGGGATAATAAGAATATCGTTATCCTGTGACTGTTGGGGAGATTTAATGAGATAATAATGCCTGTAAATTACTGAGCAGGGTGCATGGCATCATGAAGTGTGCACTTAATAAGGGGTAGGCTGCAGCTGTGTGATCTTTGGTGAAGGATTTAACTACTTTGAGCATCAGTTTCCCTATCAATAAAATGACAGCATACGATAGTTAGTGCCCAGCGTTGCATGAGGATGAAAAGAGAAAATGAGTGTAAAGTGCCTGATTTTATATACCCCACAAGGATGGAGTGAAACAGTTTACGCGTAAGCCTTTGCTAAACTCATATTGAGCAAAAAGTAAACTGTTTTCATTATCTGTCTGTGTAACTGAGAGCTGGTTGCTGTCTTACTTCTACTCAATTCACTACTTTGTAAAATGCAAATGGAAAATGATACTGAGCTCTGGGGGTCATTGTGGATTTAGATGAGTTAATGTGTGTAAAAATAATCTGGAATTCCTAAAGTGCTGAACAAAAATAATGCTGTGTTCCAACCCTAAGGCTCAGGGCCTCGGTATCACACAATGTTTTCATACTATTTAGAAAAATACACCACTTGTGTGGAGGAATTGGAAAAAGCCCCCCCATCCCCACTTTTTTTTTATGAGATGGAGTCTTGCACTGTTGCCCAGGCTAGAGTGCAGTGGCTCCATCTTGGCTCACTGCAGACTCTGCCTCCCGGGTTCAAGCGATTCTCCTGCCTCAGTCTCCTGAGTAGCTGGGATTACAAGCGCCCACCACCGCGCCTGACTAATTTTTGTATTTTTTAGTAGAGACAGGGTTTCACTATCTTGGATAGACTGGTCTCAAACTCCTGACTTCATGATCCACCTGCCTCAGCCTCCAAAAGTGCTGGGATTACAGGCATGAGCCACCGCGCCCAGCTGGAAAAAGCCCTTTTAATAGACATTTTATGTGTGTATATATGTACATATGTATTTTTAAGACAGGGTCTTGCTCTGTTGCCCAAGCTGGAGTGCAGTAGCACGATCACAGCTCACTGTGGCCTTGACTTTCAAGGCTCAAGCAATCCTCCCATCTCAGCCTCCTGAGTAGCTGGGATTGCAGGCACGTGTCACTGTACCCGACTAAATTTTTAATATTTTATAGAAGAAGGGATGGAAAGATTCTGCCTGGAGAAAAAATTGGCAAACCTAGGTCTGACTCCAGCTTGGTCCACAGTGTCCTTACCAATTGATGATCATCAGAGCTCCCTGCCCAAAGCAGGGCTATCTGGCCTGTCAAAATTCATCTATTGGTAAAAGCCACCATATGTCATGCCATACTGTAACCACCCACCCACCCACCCACCCACACACACACACATTCTCTCTCTCTCCCGCTTTCTCTCTAAGGTTGCCAGGTGAAACAGAGGATGCCCAATTAATCTTGAATTTCAGATTAATGATGAATAAGTTTTTGGTATTAACTGTCCCAAATATTGCATAGCACCCATTTACTTTTTAAAATATTCATTAATCTGAAATTCAAGTTTAACTGGAGTCCTGTATTTTTATTTGCTAAATCTAGTAATCCTATCTCACTCTCCTCCAGAAGCTCCCTCCCCAAGGTCCATTGCAGGGTTTTGCATGAATCGGCAGCCATGTTACAGTCTGTTCTTTTTGGGGGGATATATGTTGAATATAGGGTCTTGCTGTGTTGCCCATGCTGGCCTGAAACTCCTGGGCTCAGATGATCCTCCTGAGCAGCTGAGGCTACAGGCATGCATCACCACACCCACCTCACAGAAGGAAGGAGAACCTTCCTACTAGTTGCCTGACAAGGCTGGAAGCTCTCTAAGAGCAAGGGGCAGTTCAGCCTCATATCCACTATCTCTGGGGCACCAACCCAGGCAGGGATGCTTCTTACAAATGTGCACAGGGCATCCTCAGATAGGGGGCATAGATGGCAAAGAGATCCATCCTCAACTCCAGACACCCTACAGCTCCCTGATGGGGATGCATCTGCACATCCTTTTTCTCATTGGTTTGCCCAGAGAAGTGCCTTTTAAAAATTGGTATGCCCAGGATGGATGCCCCTTTTTCATTGGTTGGTTGGAAAGTGAACAGGGCCTGTTTCCAGTTAGTCTCCCTCAAAGGAATGCCTGTTTCTTTTTATTTCATTCTTTAGAGACAGGGTCTTGCTCTTATTCTCAGGCTCGAGTACAGCAGCATAGTCAGGGTTCGCTGCAGGCTTGACCTCTCAGGCTCAAGCCATCCTCCCACCTGAGCTTCCAGAGTAGCAGAGACTACAGGACATACCACCACACCCGGCCAGGAATGCCTGTTTCTAAAATGTTTATTCTGGCTGGGAATGCCTGCTCTAAAATGTCTATTCTGACCGGGCGCGGTGGCTCATACCTGTAATCCCAACGTTTCAGGAGGCTGAGATGGGAGGATCATTTGAGCCCAGGAATTCAAGACCAGCCTGGCCAACATAGTGAGACACACTATGTCTGTGTCACATCCCAGAGGTTCTCCATTTCAGCTTCACTGGGAAGAGAAGGTACGAGAAGTCATGGTTCTCTGGAGGGCTGAATGTCTGGGAGGAGACAGGCTTGGCCACTTGGAAAGCTGATCCTGCCTGTCTCTGCATCCCAGCGTAGCTCTGGTCCCTGAACCCCTCAAACTAGCACCACTGTGCATTTGAAAGCTGACTTTCTCTGTTTTCCTTTTGTGTTCTTGTTTGGATTATTTCATCCCATCCTTTCCTCTCCCTATGCCATCTCTGCTTGTGGTCACCTTGAAGTGCCATCCAGACTTGAAACTGCCTGCAAGAATTTATGCAGAACAAAGCTTTCTCCACCCATACGCTTACCCCAGACTTCAACCCTGCCGTTGCGTAGGATGTCTCTTTCCCGGGAAGATAACATATTTCCATGGTTTGAATTTGGGTAGCAGGAGGTTCCGGTTCCCTTCTTCCTCTGAAGATTACTCATAAATCCCAGAGCACCAAATTCTGTGATCTTCAAAATCCAGGGGGCTGTGAAGCCCCACAAGTGACTTGCTGTATGTTTTCATGTCTAGTACATATCCTGAGCCAAATTCACTTTGGATGGGGTGGGGAGGGTGGGCAGCAGTTTGCTGTGTGGATGCTGGGAGGATGGGAGGGGGTCCAAGGAGAAAAGGAAGATGAAAGCAGGGCAGTTTATTGACAGGAGACTCAATTCACAGGAAGGGTACCTGGAGAGTGACTGGAGAATGGCTTTGGATCAGGGATTCTCAAACCATGACCCAAAGATTACCCACATCCAAAAGAATACTGTGGTGGCAAGTCCCTACGTTAATCCAATACCATTATTTCCTCCTCTGGTAGGAGTGGGTGTGGGCATGGGAATGAGGAGTTGGAACAAATGATAGTGATTAATACTTGTTGGGGGATTAACATGGGCCACATATGTGGTATGTACTTTACATAAATCATGTCATTGACTCATTGCAACTTCCTTATGAGAAAGCTACTATTATAAGCACCCTAATTTTAAATATGAGGAAACTGAGGCACGGAGAGAGTGTATCACTTGTCCAGAGTCACAAATCTTATAATGGTTTTTCGTTTTTTTTTTTTTTTTGGCTGGAGTGCAATGGTGCGATCTCAGCTCACCACAACCTCCGCCTCCCGGGTTCCAACAATTCTCCTGCCTCAGCATCCCAAGAAACTGGGATTACAGGCACCTGCAACCACACCTGGCTATTTTTTATTTTTTATTTTTTTTGTATTTTTAGTAGAGACAGGGTTTTGCCATGTTGGCCAGGCTGTTCTCAAACTCCGGGCTTCAGGTGATCCACCTGCCTCAGCCTCCCAAAGTGCTGGGATTATAGGCGTGAGCCACTGCACCCGGCCACAGATCTTATAATGGAACCTGTAATTCAACCTGGATGCTGTAACTCCAGATCTAGGGCCTATAAATACTACACTATCCTGCCTCAAGTCAAATTTATAAAATGTGATTCTTAGATCACCTGCATTGAATCACCTGAAAAATTCAGATTCCAGAGCCCTATTCCAGACCTACTGAATTACTGATTAGTAAATACCAACTTCCAGGAGGAA